ACGGGAAACGGATGGTTCCAGAGGGAGAGAGAAATCGGCCCGTGGAAACAATTGGGCCGCTCTTACCCCGGTTTCGCGTTTAATCGTCATTTTCGATCGGCTGCAGATTGAGGATCTGTTTAGGTTCGCCTATCTAGAGCGTGTTTCACCGGGAAATAGAGAAGTGGCTACGAGTAGCCGTGGCGCATTTCGTACTGCCTCTCGACACCGTACGATGAAATTGAGATTCTTTCTCCTGCACGTGTAACGTTCCTCTACTCAGCTCGAGGCCCGTTCGTCGAAATTATTGCACAGCACGGAAATGATCGCCGTTTCGATTATCCCGTTTACCAAACTTTCGATCGTGGCGCCGCGCCGGATCGAGTGGGGCTTAAGTAGAAATGGCGCACAGTCAGACATCTCGCGTCTTGAAACTATCTGGCTCGCGAAACTATTGGAACACTTGCCATAGAAAATCTTTTGCGCGTGTATCATACGCAATGTATGAAACATTTTGAAATTTTGTGAACACAGTGGAGAGGAATAACCTTGCCTCTAATGGAGACAGTTCGACATCCGACAGTCGTAGCAAATTGAAGGGATAGTCTCTCGATAGTCAGTGCGCATCAATCAATGCAGTCTATTTTTATTACAAAAATCACTTTATTGTAAACTCTTTATTAAAATATTCGTGCAACTTATATATCGCAGAAGCTCGAGCACTGACATAATCAACAGATCACGAGTGGTAAGATCGTTCGTCGCGTAAGAAGTTCTCTGGAAACCGAGAGCAGTGTTCAATCGAGAAGTTGCTCGACGATCGAGAATCCGTTCGCGGATTTAATTTCGGAAACGCAGTCCGAGCGAGTGGGAATGATCGGCGCGAAAGCGTGGCATAAATTAAACTATCGAGCGAAATTGGCGGGAACGCGATGTTTTTACATCCGTTAGTTACGCACTAGCAATTATATTAACGATGCGTTTCAATTAAGCTAATATGCGTGGCGCGACGGCCCTCGACGGGAGTTTCGCGTTTTAAACGCAGCCAAACGCATCGCGATACGAAAATATCCTCGTCTGCCGTCCAATACAATTAAACCACCGGTGATACGCGACCGAAAATAATGCCAGACGTCTCCCGTTCGATATTTTCCGGCGAAATGTGTATCCTTCATGTATCTGTATCGCTTTGCTTTACGATTCCCACTTTTTTATATTTTAACCCTTCCCCCTCCACCCTTTCGCGCGTCGTTCTAATCACCATCGGTACACCCGATATTTCCCATTCTTCATTGTTCTCGTGACATTTTTTTAAAATCCTCTTCGGTTGTTTCACATATTTCTTTTCCCTCTGCTTTCCTCGTTTACGGAGAATTTATGTGAGATCGCGCGTGTGTGTCTAAGACTCTAGGTTTGCAAATCATGAAACCAATTGCGTAAGAATGGTGATAGATCTAATCCTAGTGTCGGCCCTTAGCTATGACACGAGTTTCTTACACAGTAGAATTAACGCCGAGCTTCGAGATATACACGAACTTACAATTAATTACGATTGATTAAATAAGAGAAAGTTAATAAGCCTCTATTATCACAATCGTCTCGTCGGATACGAATGAACGAGGTTCTGTTGTAATATCATGTTATATGCAGCAGATCTCCGTTTATATGAACGTGATCGAGGGACAAGATGGCGCATAAAGTCGGACTGTCCGTATAATAAGGGTCCATCTATTTCTTCTCATCACCGGTGATCTTTCATTCAGTTAATATTTAACAGCAGTTCATACATATACAAGAAAATTTCACGAAACGTTTATTGGATATAAATACTCGTTTATAGCTAAATTACAAACTAACAAATTATACGAACAATCTAATAATATACTAACGTCGATTTTTTCTCTGAACACATATGTATCAACTATTCTTATAATACTATTCAATGTTCAACATCATCCCCCAAAGATAATATTTTTCTTTGCTTTCTTCTTCGTTTTTTCTACTACCGTATCTTATTGGATTACAACAAATATTATTGTGTTTTCGAAAACTGAAATGTGATAAAACTGTTACAACGGAGGAGAGGATAGAATAAAAGGCGTGCAGACTTTGACACTTTTTCAATTGCGTGTGTACAGAGAAAAGCAAAAAAAAAAAAAAAAAA